GTAGGCCACTGTTATGGGTGGATAGTTGGAAAGGTAGGATAGTCAGGGAAATTTAATTTATATACTGTATGCAACGATAAATTGTATTGCAAATGAAAAACGATTTTGAGCAGAGTAGTATTAGTTCTGTTTTTTTCCTTATTGCCAAGGAAACCCAGAAATCAACAAAAATCAAAAAGCAAAATAACACCTAGAGAATGATCTGCTGATTATGTCGATAAATGTTTCAAATAAATTACTATTGGGTGGAAATTTCACAGCATTTGAGCTATTGCGCGAACAAATTGGTGTACGTATATTCTTAACAAAAACGCGTGTTAATAAAAAAGAAACATAAAAGCAATTTTTTTGGAAACGTATTGGGGATTTCGAAAATTTTGTTAAATACAGTACTATGAATCAAAATGTCCACATTACATTCGTAATTCAAAATTCTACAAGTCTGTCACCATAGTATGTAGTGCCTATATAATATTTTATTTAATATTTGCTTTTCGTTACCAGCCCGTGAAATAGATGTCAATAAAATATTAATTTGAAAACTAATATCACGGTTTTAACAAAGTTGAGAACGGAGCGAACGGTTGGCCATAGAAAGAATAGATACCCACTTCTCGAATATTGTTGAATTAAAAATTATTAGGAGTGTGCAAAGCAAATACAGGTCTTTCGCTTTCTTGATTTCAAACGTTGTTTATATAATGTACGTTTGTGTTTGTATAATGCGTATATATGAATGTGTGTGTAGGACATTAAGTCAACTTATTACTTGTTGTGCTGACAGGGTTTAAATAATTGAGTATGTTTATTCGTAAGCTTGGTGTGTCGGTATTATAAATGTTAACATTTAGGATTATCGATGAACGTGTATCTATACAGAGGGATCAACATAGCGCAATACATTCATTATTTTGAAGAATATTAATTTTTTCGTATTTGCATACAATTTAAGAACCAATCAGCTCTAAAATTGCGCATAATTTCCATTTTCCACTATTCTTTTTTTTTTCTTTTTTTTCCTTTTGGTGGAAGGTGGCGAAACCAGAATCCACTTTTGATTTTCAAGTATTAAAAATTACATAGAAATACGAAGTATTAGTTACAATGCATTTTGACGTTGACATTTTTAATTTCCGTTAGTCCGACTTAAAAGTGAAATACGAGTATTTCACTTTTGAGTTAGCCGTTTTGTCGGTTGGGAAAGAGTAGTGGAACATCATTTGTGTGGCGGCGCGGTACACCTTTAACAGTGTAGCACCTCTACTCTCATCTACCCACAAAACGACAAACTTGAAAGTAAAAAGTTTCGTCTACGGGTTGATGGATCTTAAAAATGTCAATACTAATAACATTTACTCTAATTAATACATCATCAATTTATATGATTTTTAATATGTAAGTTGCTATTTGAAAATCAAAGGTCAACCCTCAAATCAGCGTCATAAAAAACAACGGCGATGTAACATTTCAGAGATGCTTGTTTCTTGAAATTTCTAAAAAAATGTATCATTTTTTGAGACAATGAGTGTCTCGCGTTATGCCGTTTAGGTACTCTGCGTACTCACCAACGTGTCGTTTCATAGGCGTCCGCTAACACATTTTAGGTACTATAAAAAAATAAGTGTACTATATAGCTAATACGACAATGTTATAGATAATGTTTGGGCGGACTGACTTAAAGTCCAAGGAGAGCGATTACTTCGTCATGCCGCCCCCCTCTCGGGACGCTCGTGGTACCATTTACGTGAGATAATACGATTATGCTGCCGTGTCATTTAGTCTGGTTAATACCAGCTATAGGCGTTTTGGGAATACTCGGATATGTGGTGTAGTGGCGTATCCACAGGGATGATTTTAGGGTTTAAAACTACCGCCTTAATGAAGTGGATTTTTCCATTAATAAACAAATTGCTAATAAAAAAATAACACCTATTTGTATGGCTCATAAGTAGGTATACTTTATAATTTGATTACATTTATTTTAATGTTCGGACAGACTGAGGCAAACTTGGCCGACTGACGAGAACAAAAAATATATAATATGTATTCTCGCTTTGCTTGAAAATTAAATTTAATACATATTTTAGATTTTCATATATTTACAGAGCAATAAGCGCATTTTATTTTAACAAATCAGTTAAATTCGTCAATAAAAGTCACGAAAATCGACCGGAAAACGGTAAAATCGATAATTTTATCACGGATTGTGTATTTGTGAGAGAGTGAGAGCATACGGACAACTGGCGTATGTATGAAACGATTTTCGATATTTTGAATTTTTTTTCGCCATCACTATCCAAAAACCGGGCCAACCCGAATGTCAAATTAGCACAAGGCTAAACGCTGTACACCGGGGCATAATAATATGTTGTCAGATTTGATAAATTGAGGTTCATTTTATTATTTTTTAGTTAAACTGAGTCTACGAATAGTTTTACTGAATTACAACGAAAAAATAGATTGAAAATAATAAAAACATTATTTTCGTAAACTTTCCCGTTTTTTTTTTTTTATGTTTTATCTCGGGTTTTTTGTGAAAAATGATCTGTGAAGAGTATTATCTAGACAACAATTTCTTTCAGAAAACGTGCCACAATTACAAATCGCAAAATTTCTGGTGAACATTTTTGACGCAGAAAAAAAAATAAACAGTAAACATCATTGTAATACCAATACATTCTCCGCTGCATTTAGAATCTAAAAAATGTCCATGACCTTTGGGGGGGCGGATAACGAGACACGTAATATTTCTGTATGTATATGTTATCGTGTGAACGTTTTAAATTTTTTCAAATAGTAATAAATAATAATATGTGTACGTGTGCGTTTAATAATTTAAAATTTTAACAACTCAATGAACTCTAGCAGCAAAGACCTACCCGGGAACCTGTTGAGCATTCAATTAATACCTATCACGAACTTTATGTTTGAAAGCATCTCAACATTCGCAGCCACATGGTCGTGCTGGGTTTCATCTTTCACAGTTTTCAGTATTAGATCTGTAATCGGATAATAAAGGAAAAGCGTTTGACATTTTCCTAACGGCTTTGTTCTAAAATTATTGAATTATATTATTGTTGCCAATATGCACAGTACCCCACAACTGGAAACCGTAAGTTCAAAGTGGCTTGAATAATGTGTTAGGCACATAAGTAATTCAATTCTTGATTCGGTTTTTATTGTTAATGAATAAATTATGCAACCCGCAAAGATGTAAATTTATAGCTGACTTCCTGTTAAATGTTAATATGTATACCACTACTCTAAGTCGGGCGTTTATTCAAGTTTAATCTTAAAACGGCTAAAACATAGAGTTAAGAGTGTTATTTAGGAAGACGCCGGGACAGGAAGAATGATATAAGGGGAACGTTGTATGGACTAATTCAGCTGGATTAAAAATTTCAAGTTTCCACGAATATGACACCTAACTTAATCACAACAAAAAGTAAACAAAATTGAAAACAATAAAAGCACTGTTTTTGTAAATTTTCCCATTTTCCTACGTTTTTTATAATTATTATAAAAAAAACCGCTTGTAAAATCAAAAAATAACCTCTAGTACCAATTAGATAATATTTCCTTCCGAAATATGTGTTACACTCGAAAATCGGAGCAAGATTTCAGGTAGGAATTTTGTACGCACTATAAAAAACAAAAAAAATCGAATCGTCATTGCAAAACCGGCTGTGGCTGAGTTGCCGCTCGGCGTGCTATTTTTGACGTCAAGACCGGTGAATTCCGGCCCGGTAAACCTTTTGGCTATAGGATAGTTGAGGCCCGAGAAATCTTTTTTCATTTATAAACCTTATCGCTGATTCCGTTAATAGTTATATTATATTTTAATTTAAAAAAAAAAAAAAAAAAATGTATAAATGTACCGCATCGGTAATAACATCCAATTTAAAATATAAAACAGCGGACGACAAACAATACTAAACACGTCATTGTACACTACAGCCGGCCTAACACAGTCGCATCAATAACTTCTTTGATGTGTTACTTGAAGTTCAATCTGAGACCGAAACAAAATTCAGAAATAACGGATTAATCGGAACACGACGGAAACGACGGAATAATGGAACGAAAAGAAAACACGCGAACAAGAAGCTCTTAATGCGGTTACGCGACTTTTCCGACCGTTCGACCGCCGCGAAATCCGTCCGGGTTCTGGACGCGTGATCTTTTTTTTTTTTTTAAAAAAAATACGTGCCTAACCGCCGCCGCCGTCGTACAGATTAACGGGCGACCGAGATGGATAGCGGCGCGCAATAACGGCGGGAAATAACAAACCGTACTCCGAACACGGTTTTTATTTTACTCCGTTTGCGCGACACGTATCGTATCGTTTTTATAGACGGATAGTGATTTTATGTCATTTTGTTTTCGCCGGGGTCGTAAATATAAAAAAAAAAAAACAAACAAAACACATTTCCCGTCGTGAATCCTTATCCCGCGCGTCGCGACACCCCGTTACGTCCTACCGGCACGCCGCCGTACGGGGGGGGTAGGACCTCCATACGTAGGCGTATATCGTGTGCACGGTTTTCTAGCGTTTCCGCGCCCTGGGATCTGCGAGCGCGCCGGGTAATGTCATTACCTACGCGTTGCGCGCGAGATGCCGACGCGTTTTTGCCGAACCCGCCCGTCTGCCGCGTCGGTGAACGGGAGCGGGATTTCGTGTACGTATATACTCGTATGCGCTATTATGACGTATTTACCGCCCCTTTACAAAACGGCTGTGCATACGCCACGGGCGGGTGGGGGGACGGCGCGTGGGCGCGATTGTCGGCCCCGTCCCTTCTACCCATCCCTCGGGCGCGCGCGGTCGCCCGCCGTACCGCGCGCGTCCTAAACCCCCCCGCCCCCTCCCCCGGGCTAATGGCGCGCGCGCCGGCGCGCCGAGCTCCGCGGGCGCGGTAATGCGCGCGGGCGCGTGCGCGCACACGTCCCTCCAGGACCCTGACCGTGGATCAATATGACGAGTTCGGCCGCCGTTGGAACCGCTGCTGCCGCCGCCGCCGCCGCCGCCGCCGCCGCCGTCGTACCAGTCTGCCTCGCTCGGCAGCGTTAGTGATTGTAAAATATTAGCAAGCATGGCCGGCGCACAGTGAAAACGTCAACAACCGACGACCGAGACGCGAGACCGTGTCTGTGCGCGCCCCCCGACGCATCATCGAACAACCGTGAGTAGGTACGTAATCCAGATTAATTATTATTGTTATTATTATTATTATTATTATTATTATTATTACAATTATTATTATTATTACTATTATTACTGTTATTATTCGTCGAAATTTTCGATAACGATTGTTGTTGAAAAAAAAAAAATTCTGAACGAAACGATGTACATGTAGGTAGTATAATTAATTGTCTATCGCGCGTTCGTCGGACCTCGAAAATCCGCGGAGTTCCGGCGAAACATCATTTCGCGAGGGTCTCGAAATATTTCCGCCTTCTCCGCTCAACTTTCCCCCTCCCCCATCCCTCTCATTCGTCGGTCATCGCCAAAATCCCCCGGCCGGACGTGTTTGGGCGACGGTAATTTTTACTTTCCCCATCCCCTTCCATACCCCGATACGACGACGCGATTTCCGGGGGGGACGGCGGTGTAAATTCAAATCATTGTATTCGAGTCCCCGTCACGTTATTATTGGTGTTGCGCTAGTCAATTTGCACGTTTTTTGGAAATTCTGGACGGCGACGATTTTCCGGTCGCTTCGCAACAGTTTCGATCTACACGACAAATACGGGACGGTGGCGATTAAATGCACCGGATCGCCGGCTAAACGCTGCAGCGGGCGATGGGTTTTGACGGGTTTTACGAGAGAAAACTCGTAACGGACTCGCGGAAACGAAAAGTCAACGATTCCGTCGGTCGGCCGACGACGACGACGACGCAGACGCGCGGGCCGTCGTTTAAACAAATTAACAATAAAAAAAAAAAAAAAAAATTAATAATAATAATAAATACAATCTAAAACAACAAGACGAATGGCATTTCAACTGGTTCAATTCGACGGGACGCCGCGGCACTCGGTTTCATAATAATAAATTGTAACGGACGATTTTTTTTTATTTTTTTTATTTCTATATTTTCAAATACGCCGCACAGCGAAACGGTTCAATCATAAAACGATAAAGAACCGTCGCGACGCCGTTATATTCGGCACGGCCCTGCACGGTGCTGTGTAACGGACGCGCCGCATCGCGTCCGACACGTCGTTACGCGCACAACACACGATATTGCAACGACACGTCTCGGGCGTTCCGGGCGTCGGCGGCCGCGAAAGTCCGTCCGCGGTCTTTAAACCGGACGCGACGTCGCGCAGTAGGGGCGCCGCGCGGTCCGGATCCCCGCGATCCGAAACGGCCGTGACCGTCCGTCTCGCGCGTCGCGCCGTCCGACGCGTTCCCGTCCGCCGAAAGGCCCGGGGCCGTTCGGAAACGATAACAAAGAAAATCTCTCTTCTAACGTCCCTGTCGCCCGCGGCGGGTCGCCTGTCGTCCGCCGACCGCCGACGGCAATCCTCGCGGTCTTGACGAACGCCGCGGCCGCGTTCGCCGTGTACACCGGTCCACCTAACCGATTCACGGCCCCGTTCGTCGAGCCCGTCTGTCGCGAGTGTTTGTGTACCGCCGGCGTTTCCGTACGCCGTCGTACAGGCGCGCCGCAGTTGTTCGCGCGGACTGTCGGGCTGACGAAAAGCCGGTAACGCATTATGAACGCGTAAATGCGCAAAATGAAGCGCGACGCGATTGCGTTCGATTGTTGTGAGGGCGAAGCGGGGGACGCGCAATCGGTTTTACGGCGATGCGTTTTTGTTTTGTGCGCGCGTCTGCAGTAAACCGCTTTTCCACCCGGAAATCTGGTTCCGAATCGAAAAGTGTACATGGACGTTACCCCGTCGCGCTTTTGATCCAGTGGGTGACCACGGTCGCGTTTGCGACAAAGGGACGCGTACGGCTAATCGTACACTCTCAGCTCAGAATCGTTTTTCGTTAACGGCGGTTCGTGGTCGCGTACAGGCGCAAATCTAATTACTCTAAAATATTCCCTCTTTATCGAACATCTTTCCCGAAACATCGGCACACCAATCAGCAGTATTATCGACCTTTTTTTCGCGTCGAACGGATTTTATTAGTGCAGTTAGATACCGACGTTTTCGAGGAAAATCTAATAACGTGGGAATACAACAATGATTTCGATAAAACAATTCTTCTGCAGCCGAGTTCATAATTCATTTCAGTTCGGAAAATGTTGGTACTACAGTATCTACAGTTAATTATTCAAATTGCTTGTAGTTGGGAAACTTTAGACAGAAATGATTTGAAACATCAGAAAAAAAAAAAAAAAAAGTACTTCTAATAAAAAAATATTCACAAAGTTACTTGTTCTCGGAGACGACTTTGTATTCAGAGACAAAATTATTTAATTTCCTACATAGATACTTTTCATAATATAAAATATATTGGTAAATTAACAAACTTGTATAAACTCTGTGTAACTTCTGCGAGATACGAGTATCATTAAATTATACGTACACGATGAACGAAAATGATGAGAGGGCTTTAAGGGGAAAAACTCTCACGTCTCGTTGAATTGTCTTGTTTTGAAGATAGGAAAGAGGAACACATGATTCATGGCCCCCATTGAACTCTGTTTTTCAATATTTTAATATCAAATTTAAAAAAAAGAAGTAAATTTTAACGTTTTAGATTCAGAGTGAAGTGAGGAATGTGCTCATTTTAAAATGATGTTAATTTTTTTTTGCTGTTGACCACTTTTCTACCAGAAATTTTACTCCGATTTACAGTAATATCACTTTTTCTAAAAGGAAATCTGACTGCGGAGGTACTTCAGGGACTAGGGAGGTCATATTTTGATTTCCCCGGGAGTTTTTCCAATAAATGAGAAAAACGGAAAAATAGGTACAATATTAAAAAAAGGCGTCCTAGGATAACGGAGACGAGTACAACCACTGAAATAGATAACTGAATGTATATTTGTAAGCAACGATAAACCATTGCTAACGAAAAACGATTCTGAGCACAGTTCAGCTGACAGTGATACATTGTAAACAATATATATGTCATATTATGGTTAGATAATTAAATAGGTATTATATATTTTTTTTAATAATATTTGTTTGAAATTGTACCGATTTTCCCATGGTTTTCTCGATTTTTCCCATTTATTGGGAAAGAGTACGAATATGAGTTTTCCGTCCGAATTTTAAGTCAAAAGTACGAATATGCTTGACTGAATTTCAATAAAAATGTTAAATTTTTTATAAAAAACCTAAAAATGACTCAAATGTTTTGAACATTTTACCACGTTTAGAAAAGGCAAATATACATTTTCTTTTCAAATTTTGAGTCTCTACGAATATTTTTAACTGAATTACATCAAATTACAAAATTTAAAATTAATAAAAGCATTATTTTCGTACATTTCCCGTTCTTCTTACGTTTTATCCAGGTTTTTCTCAGATATTATGAAAACCGCTTGGAAAATCAAAAAAATGATCTACTAAAGTACAATCTGGAAAATATTTTCTTTCAGAAATGGTACCGCGCGTATATATCAGAGCAAGATTTATGGTCAAATTTTCGTACACAGAATTAAAAAAAAAAAAAATAATAAACATCTTGGTGAAACCAATAGCTCCATCGCTACGTTCGGAATCTAAAAAAATATCATTAAAAAAAAATGTTTGGTACATATGCAACTATTTTACCGTAATATGACATATATCATATCGTTGACAAAGCAACACTGTATACCGAACTCCGTTCAGAATCGTTTTTCGTTAGCAACGGTTAATCGTTGCGCACAGATACACTATACACGAAATTCCCGTCTATATATCACAATTTCCCAACTCCCCACTTACAAAAGTGCCTGTATCCGTCGCCGATATACTAGGTCAGCTTTTTCTTGTTTCGCCACGGCTATTCGAAATCAAATGAACAATCGCGGAGTTCAGCGCGTGTTGTATAATGTTGTCGTTTATCGATTAGCTAAATGAAAACGATAACAAAAAAAAAAAAAAAAGGTGAAACTGATAACGAACGACGGTCTCCGATGCCTGTCAGCCGGCGATACGATTCGTCCGCGAGAAACGGCCGTACAATACGTTCTCGGCCGGACCGCGGTGTCCCGCCGTTAAAACGTCAACAAAAAACGATTCGGGTTTCCACGGAATACCGGAGAACGCGTTCGGAAACGCCGGGCCCTCTCGCCGACCGAAACCCCGTCACAATGTCATGTGGGCGCCCCCATGACGGATCGATGCGCCCGCACACGTCCAACACGGTGTAAATAATCGGCCGTCATCGATCGACGGGTGTCGTTATTAAACGCGCCCGTACGCTACAACCGACGGTACGATCGTAGGGGGGGGGGAGTGGTGGGTGAGGAGGGGTCGGGTGCGGGGAGAAATTCCGTTCGAGCCGTTTCGCCTTTGTACCGCGCGTGTACGCACGGTCGCCGGCACGTTCGGCGATCAACACGGCCGGCGTTACGAATTAACAAATCGCCGCGAGACGCGACGGGACGGGACGGGAGGCGCGCACGGCTGTTGTTGTTATCGAACGTTTGGAAGAGCCAAAAGTCTCGTCGTTCCGTTGTCGTCAATAAAATTACGCGTTATTAACCATTAATTCTCTCCGCCCGGTTTAAATTGTTTTACGCGCGCTCGTACGCCAACGCTGTACGGCGAACCGCGACGACGTTAACCGTTCGTGCGCGCGCGCGTGCGTTATGACGTCACGCAGTCGGAGAACGGTTGTCCGACTCGATCGGGTCGTACGCAATTAAAATACGCGGCCAACATGCGGGCGACGGGGCCGTGTTGGGGAAAAAAAAAACAAAAAAAAAAAAAACCGAACAGCCAAACAAGGGTTAGAGTTGTGTATTGTTATTGCGACGGGAATGTTCTCGTCCGTCCCGCATCGTGTAGATAACGAGCCATTTATTATCATTGTTATTATTATTATTTCTTTTTTCAACGCCGTAAAATATTATTCGTTATTATAGCGCCGTTTATTGTTTTTATTTTTATCTTCTCGGCCGCGGTCCGCCAGTGGCAACCGGCGACAAGGCGGTTCGGAGTGGTGTAATTCATTTTTTTTTTCCCCCCCCCCGTAGGTGGGGGGTGTACATATTTTACACCGGTTTTAAACCGCGCAACAGCGGAATAAACGCGCCGACCGGCGCAGTCCGATTTTCGTTTCGAACGATTATTCCACTTTGTACACCACTCTCTCCGTTTCTGCGCTTATTTGTGGGGAAAAATATTTTCGTTTTTTTTTTTTTTTTCTATTAATTTGCGGCATTTACTGTATAATGAAGTGCCGGTTTATTTCTGAGAAGTAAATCCATCAACGATGTAGACACTTAAACTAAATTCACCGAATAATAATAAAAAAACACGGAACAAATATTTCCTACGAAACGCGGACAAACAGTCGAAGGATTATTCAAGTACGTTTTCAAAATTAAAATTGGACGGGCGGAAGTATTTCACTCCGGCTTATCGGCTTAAAAGCTCTAAATTCGTCCGTGATCCTTCCCCTGCAATGGCACCGGGCACCGCCGCACACCAGTGCAAAAGTATTGTTGTTAGTTAAAGGTTACAAAATAATTTTAGTTGAATTTTACAAAATCGGAGAAATCCCGGAACTAACACAACAATTGCTCATTTGTCGAACGAGCGCTTATTATATCGTTGGTCCCGGGGGAGAACGGCTTGAGTTAACGCTGTTTATAGTTTTCAATAAAAGTAAATTAAATTTTGAAAATTTCCCAACCGCAAAGTCGCGAAACGGCCCAACTCAAATATGACGTTCTAAACGGCTAGCGGCCGTATAATTTGCTAAACGAAAAGTATGTCATTGCGATTTGAGACATTTTTTATTTTCAGTACAACACGTGTTAGAATATGCATACACTTGTGCTATTTAGGCCAACAAGTAAAGGGAAAAAATTGAAAAAAAAATAATTTTAAAAATCGGCTTTTGTTACCTCGTTACTAACATTGTATATTTTTCGACTACATTTTCTGTTTAAAATTCGACACAAAAAACGACCAATTCCACACGAGTTGTTTGGAATTCGATTATAATCTATTTTGTTTATTATTAATACTTATTATTGATACTAAACAGTGGGGCTATGACCACTTATCGATTTCTAATTTCATTATTCGAATAATACCTATCTATAACTGTATTCGAATAATGCATGTTAGACGTTTTATTTATTTCTCACATGTCGTTTAGCCTCCGGAAAGTTTCAAACGAATTTTCCACTTGCACGTGAATCGCATTTAAGTTTCGAGTTATAAAATATTTTTTTTACAAATTTAATACCGTCGACATGTTAACTATTCGTATAATATTCTCAACAACATGAACGATCACGCTAGATTAAACATAATTAAATTAACTGAACATTTTTCATTTATTTTCAATTATAAAATATTACACACAGCGCATATTATGTATAGCGAATGAAAAGATAACCATCGCGGAAAGGCAAAAGTTGTTTGAAAGTCTCTTTATACATAGTTTTCCATTAGCATATTAGTTTATGAACAAGCTAAAGAGTAACGCGATATTGTTAAATTATTTCATTACGAATTGTACGTCAAAGGATTTTGTTTTACGGATTCGAAACAACGTTAAGGAATCAAATACATAACTGTTAGTTTCGTTAGTTCTTGTACAATGATTGTGTCGAAACTCAAAGGTGCTATTGAAGTTAGATTTTCGATATAACATTTAAAATAATACTACGGGTATAAAAATTAATTTCGGATATTTATTATTATGTAGGTTCAGTTGTATAGCTTTTGAAATTAAAATTTTTGGAAACCAAAGACTTATTTATAACCGTATTAAAACAAATCATTTTTAAAAGAATCGGCACTACTTTAGGAGCAAGTTTTCTGTTCGAAAAGTTATTTGCAGACAGAAAGAAAAACACACATGGTACCTAAAACCAATAGTTACCTCGATCCGTTCCGCATCTAAAACGAAATCGAAAATAACAGAAATCGTCATAGCGTAAAGTTTTACGGTTTCTCGAGATTTCCAAGAAAAATCATAAAATGAGCCGTCCTACACTAACTGAAGAACATTTTAAAACAGAAAGTTTCCAAAAAGCTTTTGATTAGAGCAAACATTCTGGTCGAAAAGTTGTTTACGGGGACACACATACAAAAAAAATACACGCCTCAATAAAATTTGCAATACATTCTTCGCTCCGTTCAGAATCCAAAAATATATACTGACGAGAGACGAGTGGTAAAATAAATCGAATATTATATTTCTATAGATTCTGGAAGTTTTAAGTTTGAATTGGGTTAAACTTTTTTTATTCCATAAATAAAGTTATTAATTCGACATTTTTCATTTTTTTTTTCAAAATTATTTATAACATCAATTCAGTTTATTCGCGTGACTTAACTGCAAGAGATTAAACGGTCCGTTAAAGTCGATCAAGGTTGGTAGATCAATATTTATTTTTTAACTACTCATTAAACGCGTTTTAATAAACCGTTAGAATTTAACGATACTTAATGAAACAGGCTATAAACGTTATGTAAACAAGAAAAAAAAAAAAATGTAACAATTGATTTTTTCATTGAATTGTGTCAACATTGTAAATTATATGCAGTAACTCTAACACAAATCTATCGGTTCGAGTTTGCTCGCTTTATTATTTGATTTGTTTGTTTGTGTTTTTTTTTATTTTTAATGAAAACCGCCATACCTTGCGCCAAAAGAGTTGTTCTTCGCTTTTTAACGATTCGCGGCCAGTGCTCGATATAGTTTGACCGATTAATTATTTTCGTCTCTCCTATAATTTATCGGACACCCGATAAACTTACGAATAAGGAGAGGGTTCAATTTTCAACCCGTCGTTGGAAAACGTAACGATATTATTATATTTCGTTATACACGATTGTATAGAACACACACACACACACACACAATTTACACATTTTTTTTTCGTCGCTCGAAAAAACTTAAAACGTTCGTAACGTGTGTGTGTGTGTATATACGTATCATAGTAATTTCACGCGACTCGTTATCCGCCACTTAAAGGTCATGAATATAATTTTTTTTTTGCCACACACTATTAGTGTTTTGAAGCGAATAAAAACGTAAGTAAAAAAAAAAAAAAAAAAAACCGCAACTATAAACAACACGTGTACCTATCGCCTAGACTTACGTATAACCTGCGCCGGCGGCGGCGATAAAAATTATGTTTTGCGTGGCGCTCATTGCGGTGCGTCGCGCGGCACGCGGCTGTCGATTTTAACCAGGCACGTCCTCTCGGTAACGGCGAACAGGACATTTTCTATTAGTTTGTTTCTCGCAAACTCGCGAACGCGTATGCATTCACAACTGAAGGCATTATAGTTAATAATGTTATAATTTATGTTAGCGTCTTTACACGATACGGTCATTGACGCTAATTCGATAATAATATTTACGCGACGTACTATTTTCGGGATTGTCGTTCGCGATGCGAATACTCGCCGCGTTCGCATGACGGCTTAAAAAAAAAACACAACCAACAACGGCTGTTACTAATTACTTATTGTCACGAACACGGTGTCGATGTCGTTTGAACAATCACACCTCGTGCCGGTTGTCTTTCCGACAAAGACTCAATCGGAGCCGGAGTGGTTAAAGGGGTGCGTGCGGCGCGAGAGTAACATCACCCAAACTTCCACGTTCAGACTGTACAGGGTCGACAGTATTATATGATGCTCTGTATAATAATACGCGTGTACGCAATTGCAGGATTATTTATTTTTCAATTAAAAATGCCGATATTTTATGACGTTTATTTTCAGCCATTTAATATAGGCACCTATTATTGAATTTCACATTTGATATTTTTTTTAGTTAAGTCTAGCGAGTTAAACCTAAACGATAACGTAGCCCACATCATTGTGATGATAGTGCAGACTATGCGATATCGCCGTATCTGTTATAATTTCCTAAAAGCAGGAAAACCGCGAAAAGTTAATGTTAACAATAATAACAATGTATATACTATCTATACTATCTAGTAATGAAATAAAACCGAAATTGTATTCGTGTCTTCCTTGTTGACAAAAACCACTTTTGAGACTCTATTCAAAATCTTCTTTCATCATGATTTTCATGAAATTTCGGGGGGGGGGGATAACCCTCTTCCACATTCGAAGATTATAGATTATGGATTATATAGATTTGTCCAGAAAAAAGCCGAAATATAATGTTTTGCCCGAGTATCGCGGATATTTCGCGTTTTGACCGGACAATTCTGAGCATCGCACGATTTGGGCGTTTACCCGTAACGGCCGTAACATAATATACATAACACGCAAACATTATAATACATTCATATCGAACAACTATACACAAAAATATTTACAACAATTTTAAAGCGACATTAAGTTTTTTTGTCTCCTACAAACCAATCTACGATGACTAATGTTTGGACACGTTCCGCATCGATATTCCTACATATGTATCGTAGACAAAAAATTGTCCTAGTTATGTCGTTATCACTATTTTTTGGTAACACCGATAACAATACCCGAGAAATAATCAATAACGCGGTTATAAATACTATTTTATTTTATTTCCTACATATAGTCTATATCCGTGGTTGAAAAATCACAGCCGAAAAATTCCAAGGAGGTGGCGATCCATCCATCGCCTCCCTCTCCCCTCAAATACGCCACCGCGTTCGGATCCCTATGTAAAGACAACGTGCATGCCAAGGGAGTATACAAATTTTGAAATCTACTGTACAATATTATGTACGCTTATTTATCATATTTTTCAATTTTATTTTATTATAATAATAATCATCAACGGTAACGTGTATTTTTCATACGGGTATAAAATATTCACAACTGTCAACCGAGGACGTATTATGATATTGTAATTTATGTAGATTGTAAATTTATTGAAGGATTTCGATGTATTTTGTTGTATTCATCTCGCGGGATGCGTACATAATATTATAGCTAATAGAACTTTTGTTGATTTTTCGAAACAAAACAAAACAATACAACAACAATAAAAAAAATAAAAAAAAAAAAAATAAATAACAATAATAATAAATATGCACGTATCGCGGTAAAACCGAATACGTTCCTCGTTCCGCCCGGAATCTAAAAAAACCAATTTAAATAAAAACACGATAGTACTTGGACTGTGTATAAATGTATACATATTGTACGCAACCGATGCAAATATTTAGACAACAAAACGAAAATTATAAACTCGAAGCAGTACAAATATTAATATTATTTATGTAAACAAACGGACAACGTTTTTTTTTTCCCCATCGTCGTTCGCAATTATATTTTACTCAAATATACAATGTTGTAAAATACGACGACGGATCCCGTATAAAAAATTGAACGATATTTGATTGCATTTCGTATTAGTGTATATACGATATTATGTTCTGAAAAATGCCCCGGAAAACTCGCTTGGATATTTTATAATATCATGTCGTGCCTGTGTCGCATTACGCTAATTATCAGACGATAGGCGCGCAATCAAACGGCGAAGTAAAAAAAAAATAACAATAACAATAATAATACCCAATATAATTATTATTACATTATGCGACGTAGCGCACGTGTTATGAATTTACTCTTTACTGTTTTTCGCCGTTACCTACCTGTGGTGTACATATTTTAATACAATAATGTATATTTTTGTTTTTTTCTCCGCCGATAAAATGAAAAAAAAAAATAAATACGTTCACGTAACAGTTAATAATATGTAATCGCGTTGCTAACAATTTGCCGGCACGGTTTTCGCAGTGTTTTTTTTTTTTTTACATATTTGTATATACATTTTTCGGCACTTTTTTTAAATTTAACGACCGCGTTGTGAGCCGATTCGCACATTTCAGATCCGAGACAACGGTGACTGCACGGTTTATCACAATTTGTGATTCTTTGTTTTCTCGCGTTCTGTGAACGGAATTTTTTGCGAAACATCTTGCTCCGATCACCGGCCAAAAAAAAACCGGTCAAACCGGCCGTTTCTAAGACCAGTCCTTGTGACGACTCTGATAAATACCAAACGATTTTCATATTTTCATAGTTTCCCTTATAGTTTTTTTTTTTTTTTTTTACAATTGGGAGAACGGGATAATTTTCGAGATAACAGGTTTTGGTATTTTAATGTTTATCTATGTAACAAAGTGAAGTTGAAAAATACGTATAGACGTGTGGCGAATTATAGTATCGCGCAATATTATTTTTATAAAATTATAAGCAATTATCGATAAATAAATAAAAATACAGCAACTTACCAATCCAAAGACTTATTCAGACTGTACTTCAATCTTCATAACTGTTCATTCTTAATTAAAACAGTGAACAATTATGTAGATACCAGCTAGGTCCCTAGGTAACGATCTAATTTATGAGATAATTATATTATCTAATGTTATATTAATTTTATATCAATTATAATATTACATTATATATATATATTATGTAATTATATTATAATTTATATTCATAAAATAATATCTTCTACAAAGAACATTTTATACAAAACTTTTTCTTAATTGAGATTAATATTCCTCTACGTTACTTTCCCGAATTAATTTCTGAAACCTTCCTTTTCAAACGAGGTGTTATTTTCCATCAAACATTATTTTCCCTTCTCTAATTTTGTATCATATTTTCCTCTGACATCTTCTTCGCTTAACACGAGTCTTAATTTTACTTTTAGTATCATTAGCTAGTATAGCTTTAAATAAAAAAAAAAAAATAAAAATAAATACTATTTTATATTTGTACCTGGTGCAAGTTGCATTATGTTATATGTATACTATAATATGTTCACTAATTGTTCATGCTAAACACCCGGACTTAAAAAAATTACAAACGACAATTATTGTATATTTTTGTCATTTATGGAACAGGGCTTCCGGATCCATTTAAATGTATCTGTACAAGATCGAATCAAACAATCGGACTGATGTGCAGCCTAGGGTTCAAAACACGGAATAGTCCATCGCAGAAAACGTCATTGCGTTGGGGCGATTGTTGTTCGCTGCATTTCTGAGCCAATTTTATTATAAACCAGGACACTGAAGGCGGTCTTTTCACAATAAAAAAAAATTACGAGCCATGTTTTTCGTTTCATAAAAGTTACCTATAAATCTGTTAACGAAAAGTATTTCAATATATAATATTGTACTTTTACATATCCTATATTTGTTTAAGTTTATTAATTTTATTGTTATTTCGTTTAGTGTAAAACAAAATACGTAATAACAATACATATTACTACTTACCTATATATTGTTATTGAAAATAATATTACGTTAGCATAGTATATCTATATAGAGAAAATCGGAGAACTAATTGACTAAACAGAAGGATAAATCGAAACCCGTCCAAAAAAAAAAAAAAATCGTCGGTAAGCGTTTTTGTTCAATTTGTCATCTAATTTTTAGTTAATCGCGCGTTCGCCAATAAAATAATGCGTAATACGCAATAAATTATCGTCGTTTGCCGCAGAAAATGAACGTCATAGGCGTTATATCCATAGTTTTCTTCTACTGTCTGATCCTCATAGTGGGATTATGGGCCGGGAAGAAAAAGCACACCGGGAATTCGGAGGCGGAAGTTATGTTGGCGGGCAGAAACATCGGGCTTTTCGTCGGCATATTTACCATGACAGGTAATTTATATTACGCCCGGCGTTCAAGTACTGTATTTAATCACATAATAGCATTATCGTGTTATCCGCATTATCATAATTATTGTTTTAGCGACCTGGGTCGGAGGAGGATACATTAACGGGACGGCCGAAGCGATTTATACATCGGGTTTGCTGTGGTGTCAAGCCCCGTTCGGATACGCTTTGAGTTTGGTTTTCGGTAAGTGATTGTACACGAATATAATATTATATATTGTCATTATTCTTTTTAATAATAATAAAAAAAAAAAAAAACAATAGCATTTAGCACAAAAAAAAAATACCAGTTCTTTATACGAATTGTAAATTTTAAATTAAAAAACTGTCCTGAATTCAAACGCCGGGGAAAACCTTTTATCCTGATAAAATTAATTATTAATTCGCGAAAATATTTAATGGAAGACTAAATTCACCAACAATTGAATGGCGTTTACGACGCCATTAATAATTATATAATTAACTAAATCTCATCAAACTTTCAGTGACAGTAAATAAAGCGTTCCCTCAGTTACAAGCATAACTAACCGTTTAGACAGTAAAACTTAAACATATTTGATCTTTTACAAACGCAGTAGACTGTACGTTTTGATTTATAAATTCAACGAAAATTAAGGAGTTCATATTTTCAAACCGTTATATAAAATAATTTAAAAGATTTTAACAGGTCGAAATATAAATATTTGCATAATTATTCATATATGCGATATTGTTGACTGTATAATTATAAATTTGTATTTGTTGTACAAGTAACGTGTTGAGTAACGTCATAGGTAGCTCATCGTGTTTGTTTTTTATTTTCGTGAATATCCATGCATAATGTTACCTACTTAAAACTTCTAATATTAATAAAAATAATAGAGCAATTATCAATTTAACATTTGTCGAGGTGATGAGAGTGTTTTTTTTTTAGCTTTTTACATTCCTACAGACCATAGGTGCAACTAGACCGCCAACTTTGGAGGTGTTAAAATTATAGGCACATCACTTACTAATGCCCTCAAGTGTTCTGTAACAATGCGTTGCTTTAACAAGCCCCTTTACACGAGACTTATAATAAGCAGCTGCATATTTCATTTATAATTTTTAATATAAAAATATATCATAACGTTTTAACTTTATTTTTTATACGCACATGCATAGTTTTTATTTTATTCTGTTTATGAATTATTATGAAATACATGGACGTAATGTTTATTCGGCACCATAAAAAGCTTATTGAGTAGTTTTGGGAGCACTAAAGACCCTCTTGCATCTTCCTGGTTGAGCCTATGCTACAGACCCCCCCCAAATCAAGACAAGCGGATCATATTATTTTGTATACGAATGTTGTAAAGTATCAAGGGTTTATCTTATGTAGGGGTTTTCTAGATTGACACCGACCAATACCATTTTTATGATCAAATTTCACTATTTGTTAGGAAGTAAATAATAATCATAGCACAGTACTAGTGTTCATTATTGATTTGTTAAGAATATTTTTATTAATACGAAATACTTGAGATGGGGGGGGGAATTCGATTTTAATGACGGAGCTCTGATTTTTACGCGCGATTTTTGTTTTCTCCATTGATGATTATCATAATTACTTAATATATTACATATTGATAATGAATATAGTACGTTATAGTATGTATTCGTGCCTATAGATGAAACGGCTCTATTTACATTTCATGTAATTAAATATGTATTTTTTGTATATAAATCGTATGAATTTTGATTATAAACTAATTATTATTGATCTTGATGAAAAAAAAAAAAAAAAAAAAAAAAATAGGTGGAATATTTTTCGCCGATCCGATGCGCAGACAAGGATACGTTACCATGTTGGATCCCCTTCAAGATTGTTTCGGAGAACGTATGGGAGGATTGTTGTTTTTGCCAGCGCTGTGCGGTGAAGTGTTTTGGTCCGCCGGAATATTATCCGCTTTGGGTACGCGATATTTTCGTTTAATAATATCCATGTTTTGATTACACCCTGTGTATAATAAAATATTTACGTATGACATACACAGGAGCTACGTTGAGCGTTATAATCGAACTGGACCAGGCTACCAGTGTAATCGTGAGCTGTTGCATCGCGGTGTTCTACACGATTTTCGGAGGATTGGCCAGCGTCGCTTATACGGACGTCATTCAACTGTTCGCCATATTTATAGGATTGGTACGACATACCCATAATATCCGTAATTGCTTTATAAATCAGTTTTCCGATTCATTCATTTCCGATTTTACCGATTCCCAAAGACAAAATGTTCCAAATTTAAACAATTTCAAATTTTTCCAATTTTTACAAATGAACAATAATGCTGCGGCCACGTCCATTTCCACCCCTTTGTTCAAACATGCACCGATAATGAGTTTTTTGTAAAACAGTAGGTAACATTTTCGGTTTGCTCGGTTCCTATATAATCTCCTCTATTCAAAATCATAAAAAAAATACCGCAAATAAACGCGCGCGCGATACAATATCTGATTTTGTCGCGCAACTATTATTATTAATTGTAATCGTTATAGTGGTTGAGCGTGCCGTATGCGTTGCAAAACGATAAAGTGGATTTCCACAAGCCCGGTTTGGACCTGATTGGCAAGATCGAGTCTAAGGATTTATTTAGTTACATTGATTACGCGTTACTCTTGGTGTTTGGCGGAATTCCGTGGCAGGTTTACTTTCAACGCGTGTTGTCCAGTAAATCCGCTTCGCAAGCCCAGATACTCTCGTACGTCGCGGCATTTGGGTGTTTTATCATGGCAATACCACCAGTCATCATCGGAATGGCCGCAAGAGCAACTGGTGCGTAAAAATTGATTTAATATAATGCGCCCGCAAATAACCTACCGGCAATATTTAAACGAGAATACGAAAATCAAAACCCATTTAGCAAATTAATAATATTCTAATATCATTTTACAGTCTAATAGTATTAGAACATTATTATTACCTGTTGGTTTACAGCATGGAATGAGACGAAATACACGGGGCCCTTACCGATGACTCCAAAGGAAACTAGCATGGTCTTGCCTATGGTCATGCAGTATTTAACTCCAGAGTGGGTGTCATTTTTTGCGCTGGGTGCGATTTCCGCAGCTATAATGTCTTCGGCCGATTCGAGCGTTCTGTCTGCCAGTTCGATGTTTGCGCGAAATATTTACCGGATGTTATTACGTCAAAGTGTAAGTCCAACCATAGATTTTGTTTTTAGTAAAACGTCTCGTCAGTATTATCAGAATGCTAATAACTTTGTCAATATTCAATTTTTTTCTCAATCGGATTTTGTTTCGGGGGGACAGTAATGACACAAAATTAGATTGAAAAAAAAAAAATTGAACATTGACAGAGTTATTAATAGTAGGGTGCGGATTGTAATGTAAATTGCATATTTTTGAATGTCCTAAAGCAATGATTTTTAAGCACAACATTTTTTTCATATATCAAAGAATTTAATTACGAGACTTTTATTTGCCCTTGTTTGACAATTCAAGGACAATTTCAGGTTTTTAAAGCATTTGATTCTTCTTTTTACAAAATTTCATAGCGTTGCCAGAAGATTCGATAAAATTCATTTCGATTTCCTACCAAAAGAAAAAAAAAAAAATTCATATTTCGGGTTTTGTATTATAGATTTACAGATTTGACCGGATAAATAATACGACGCAGACTGCATTCGCGTAAACGATAAGCTATGTTTATCGAGTTGTATTGCATAGTCGTGTAGCACTGTTGTGTTAAATAAAAAAAAAAAAAATTGTTTTTCAACGTTTAAAATAATTTTTAAAACCGCTGTTTTACGCGCAATAAGTGCGTAGAATCGTGCGTTTTCCGTGTTTTTCGGCGTAATTAAATCCGCGCCCTACGGGTAACACTGCGCAGAGAACGCCCGGTGCGTTGTACCGAACGCCATTCAACGGCACCGGGTGCGTGTATCTTACGGTACGGCCGAACCGCACGATAACGTCGGCGCGGCAACGCGCCCCGTTAAACAATGCGCCCGGACGGCGGACTCGGGTGCGGCGACAACGGCGGCGATATGTCGGCCGCTCGACCGCCACCCGCCGTTAACCGAAACCGATATCATTTCAGGCGTCGGAAATGGAGATCGTGTGGGTCATGCGGCTGTCCATAGTGGTCGTCGCGTTTTCCGCCACGACCATGGCCATCACCATCCCGTCCATTTACGGCCTGTGGTCCATGTGCTCCGACCTGGTTTACGTTATACTGTTCCCGCAGTTGATTATGGTCGTGCACTTCAAACACTATTGCAACACGTACGGGTCGCTGGCCGCGTACATCGTCGCGTTTTACATCCGGATGGCCGGCGGCGAACCGCTGCTGGGCCTCGCGCCGCTGATCCACTTCCCCGGGTGGGACGGCGAGAAACAATTGTTCCCGTTCCGGACCACGGCCATGCTGTGTTCGCTGTTCACGCTGGTGTTTGTCTCGTGGGGAACAAAGTACGTGCACTGCCGGAGCCCCGCGTCACAACGTCACAATACCGCGTGCCGGGCGATCCGTTTAATTACATTCAAATTGTACTCGGTTATTTAAACGGAACGTTTAACGTGGAAATCGTAACCCGTTGTCTCGGAAAGCGTTGATTTTTTTTGATTTTTCGGAAATTTCTTTTCTAGAACTTTCGAGAGACAACGCGGCCTACGGTTTTATATTTGTGTTTTTTATATGCGTTGTACCGCCCACTTTTATGTCCGGGCGACAGGAGAGCAGCGGCGCCGTACGGCCACACGGCGAATGGTATTCCGCAACTTTCCTGTCGCCCGAACATTAGACAGAGCCGTAAAAACGACACGACGCCGTTTACCGCGACGCGCGGGCAGTGTTGAAACCCGACGCCGTTTGTCGTTAGCTACTGAATCGTGTACGTTTCGTTATTCGCAGGCGGTTATTCATGGACGGTATCCTGGCGCCCCATTACGATTGGTTCCATTGCGTGGTGAACATACCGGAAGACGCGATACGGGTCGGAGAGCCGCACGAAGGAGAACAGATGACCACGCTCACGTCGGGTGAATAACGATACGCCAATAATAATAACAATTCGACGGTGTTTCGTTAAAATGCCGTGTAAAATTATTGAAAAATGCGTGTTCGGTATCGAAAAAAATCAGAAAAATTACCGGCGCAAACCGGTTAGGCGGGGTACCCAAACGCCACGTTTAAACAAGGCGTGTAGAAAATCAAATTGGAGATTTCGACTAAAAGACATCCAAGCGAACTTTTAAAATATACGTTTAAACCGACACTGATTTGTTAAAAGGACGCGTACTTTCTGCGCACGCGTACTTTCAGCGCACGCGTACTTAGCAGGCGCGTGTACACGGGGATGGGGGGGGGGAGTTAGGGGTTCAACCCGAAATTTCATGAAAATTATGATGAGAGTATATTTTTAATAGAGTCTCAAAAGTGGTTCCTGTTAACGAGGAAGACAAATGCACTATTGGTTTTATTTTTGTTTAATTACTTGATACGAGTCATATGGCGTCATCATTGTCATTTTGAGTTTTTTCGGGGTTTTCCTGCTTTTAGCAAATTATAACTGACACGGCGATATCGCATAGCCCCGGCATTATCGCCGCAGTAATACGAATTAAGTTACCGTTCAGGGTGTGTTCGCCGGACGAATATTGAATGTACAGTTTCGCAATAGCCTTCCCGAAAGGCCAACAAATGAATGTTATAAAATATCGGCGTTTTCAACGGAAAACGGAACAAAAGCGTTTTAGCGGTATGCGCCCATTTTAACGAAACACCGTCGACATTACCGTTATCGTTTTATCGACAAAAGAAATATTAAAAACCGTCGAGAAAAACAGACCCTCGTTGACATTCCGGTGGTTTTGTATTGTCCGCGTGTGCGCAGGTCCGATGGGCGCGCAGTACGGCGCGGCCGTGACCACCGGGTTGGTCGGCAAAGACGAACGGAACGGCAGGATAAACCCGGCTCTGGACATCAACGACGACGAGACCACCAACACCGTGATGGCGGCGCAGCCGCCGGCGACCGCGTCCTCGGTACAGCAGAGAAAGGCCAGCGTCGTGGGAAAGGTTTACAAGCCCGGCTACGAACAGACCAGCGGGTTTTAAACGTTGTTCTAATGTAGCCAGATCTCATGCCGACCCTGTGTTAATAATAACAATATCGCGGTAGGATTGTGAGTTTAGTGTCACCCCGTACAATGACGTTACCACGTCTGTCCGTAAACGAATAGTGCAACAGCATTCCCGTGCCCTATATTTCAGTTGTTGTTTTTTTTTTTTTAGCGGACAAATTCCGCGGGAAACACGCACCATTCGCGTTACACCCACGTTTTGTGCTGTTTTGACTGTTATCGGATAGGATTAGAAATAGGAAAAACCGAACAAAACCAATCCGTCAGTATTAGAAGACACTGTAACTCTCACACGTCTGTGTACTTATACGCAATAATAATAGTAGTAGTAGGTATTATTATTGTTATACTATAATATTATATCAGCGTTGATTCTTCCATGTAACGAACCCCCCATTATAATAATATTTGAATAATAATAATAATAATAAAAAAATCGAATAGAGTAAACACGATTTAGGTGTCTACAATAAATAAAACGCCAATAATTACGGTTTGAAGTAGGAATTAAATAAATATTGGCATTTAAAAATTCGACGAGATAAAATCTGTGTTATAGGACATAGGTACCTGCGTACACTATGATAAACATTTTTTTTTTTTTTTTTTTTGATAAATAGTTATTTAGAAAATCAAATATGTTAACTAATTAATAAAGTTGTTAATGTGATCGTTGAGCTTTTTTTAAAAAATAACGTTTAAATTTAATCAGAGATTTTATGGCTTTCATGTTTATTAATGTATAGTTGTAAGCATACAACTTAATATTCCATTATTATTGTTATTATCGGGAATTTTGTTAAACGATTTGTTTACCTATCGATACATATCATATTATTTATCTGACTGTTAAGATTGGAAACTACATATCACTATACTATGTATTTATTAAATACATGACTGACCTTAAAATAAATAGATAGTAAAAAAAAAAAAAATAGATTTTTAGGATTACATATTTTATAATGCATAATATTATACTTGGTGTTACTCGATCGTTTTAAATGTTATTATCGCAAGATCTTAATGATTGAACCGTATTACGGTCATTTTGACTTTGAAATGTACAATTATGCCAAAATCGTGAAATAATATTTTAAAACCGATCGATTCCTTAATCGAGAATTTACTATACAATTTTTGAGTAACGTATACATATCAGCACAAAGCAAAACATTTTACTATACTACAATTTCGTAATACCCCAAGTCCCAATTTGTAGTTTTTTTCTTTAGTGAAAATATACAAACTATTTATACATGTTTAAATATATACATATATTAATAAATGCATAATTTTGAAAAGATTATTTAGATTACTTATAAAACGATAAAACAAGATGTTATATAATATTATAATATTAAAAAAGTATTATAATACTTTTTAAAATAGAATGAATAATACAAAAGTGAAATTATGTATTTACAACGAAATTGTCTAGTCGATTTGTAGTTATGTAGTTTATAATAAAATCTATGTCATGTTGAAACCGATGTTTTTTTTTTCTTCTGTAATCCGTTATCGATTAAAAATGTAGTGTTTCCTAAGTATTCCGTTAAATGCTTTTCATTTAACATGGTTTTTGTTTTTTTTTTTTTTTTTTACTAATAAATGTATTCCTTCAAACGACTTAGTAACATTGCCAGACCAGATGGTGATTTCCATTCAGTGATGGCGGCGTTGAATACAGAGACGTTATTTGAAGGATTCAGACTATAATTTGACAGTCTAATTTTTTTAAATCGGTTTTTGGCCTGCATAAAATGTTACTTATATAAAATTTGATAAAATTTAAACTGAAACCATTGTCAATGACCGCCGGTTTTGGCTGTTTGAGATGCGGGAGTGATTCATGGACGATTGTCACCACGGTTAACTGTTACCATGGCTTCACGATTAAAGTTAATACTACCGCGATATCAATGCGATTATAATGTCAACAAATTGACAGTATCATACATCAAGTATGATATTGACATTTAGTTTATCAATTTTTTATTAACAGAAATATTTCTCTACAGTATTTGAATATTATTAAAATGTAAAGTGGAAATACGGTTTAAATATTTGAATCCTTATTGAAAAACTGAAATAACGCACCTGTGTGAATAGTCATTTGGTTTAGAAATGTGTACGTATTTTTAATGATTATAATATGCACCGATTACAGGTATAAAGAAATTGAAAAAAAAAAACAAATGAAAATTAATTGTTAGACAGTTTAATTATATTATAATTCATTATTATTTAAGTTATCAGTGTGGTTCAACTCACAAGATTTATTTATTATAATTCAATTAGTTATTAAAAAACTAACCTATTATTTTATAATATTATGTTAATGTGTTGCATACAATTATTTTTTTACATAATATTTTGATTATAGATTAAAATAACAAAAGGACGTACAAAGGTACTTCGCAAGTGGGTGTAGCTACTGTTGTAGGCGGAAAGTTGGAAAGGTAGGATACAGACGGAAATTGAATGTATACCTGTAAGCAACGATAAACCATTTCTAACAAAAAAACTATTCTGAGCGGAGTTCAGATGATAGTGCTGCTTTATCAACAATAGAATATATGGTATATAATATATATCACATTCTGGTAAAATGTTTAGAACAATGTACGTTTCCATGACAACAATGATTGTTCAAAAAAGATTAAAATAATAAAAAACTTAATAATAATAAAAAATAAATAAAAACGGTTGCCAATGAAAACCTTTTCTTTAATCTTTCAATCTTTTTTAACCTACAAACCAAAGTTTTCCTCATTATCTCGAATATTAATGGGAATTTAAAAATAATTAAATCTTATATTATTATTATTATTATTAAATCTTAAAAGTACAACCCAGGAAACATTTCCTTTCAGAAAAGGTGCTATACTTGATAATCGGAGTATGCTTTCTGGCGGAAAAAGTATTCACATAAAAAAATAATAATAATAAAACAATAGACATGATTGTAAAACCAACACATTTCTCGCTAAATTCAGAATCTAATACATTAGGCAGGTAAATAGCGTTTCATCATTTATACACAAAAATTCAAACGAAAACTAATCAGACATATTAAGTATTTAGTATACTTTATATAAATACGGCATGTACAAGTATTAAGCAAATTACTGTAATACAGTAGTTTTTTTATCATAATGAAACTATATGCTTTATCTGTATTGCGTCAGGTCGGCAGATAGTTTAGTATTTTTTCCAATTGCATGACGAATATCCACCCCAAACTGAAGGCGAACGAGGAAAAGAAGAAATTGTATACACCTAACAATGATTTAAAAAATAATTGCATTTTAGTTTTACGAATTGATATAGGTACTGGTTCTGCAGTAGAATATGCTTTGAATAATATTAAAATATTAAATTATAACACAATTTCGTATAAAATATTAAATTTACAAATGTATTTGGTATATTAACGGTTTCTGATAACTATGTTTACCACTAAGTTTTTTTATTTTTCTACTTAACAGTTATTGGTATATTATTTTACCACTTGATACAACGGGTATTTTAATATTGTATGAGGTTAGCTTGTACGCGGTGCGTCGTAATCATTGTTGTGTTATCGGCAACCATGAAAACATATCGAAGTGATAAATTATTATACCACTGTGCTTTAGACATATGAAATATTTCTTAAAAAGTGATATCTGTGATCAAAAATCTAAATTGTTCCCGTGTTATTAATTCGGAGTCTATAAATGGTAAGTAACTTTTTAGTTAATAACATAAGTAACTTGATTTTTGCACAATCACAACACTCTTGTTTACAAAACGATTTTTTTTTTTATCTATTATTTTTTTGTAAACTTTGATAGTTTTTAAATCAATTTTAGTTAAACCATATACACATACAAGTTATGTTTTAATTTGAGTATATTATGTAGACATCAAATTTGTTTTATATGTTCCAATTATTGGTTTACCAAGGAAAATATTTTGACTTGAGTAAAAAATTTCTTATCAATTTTAGTAATTTACAATGTCATGCACATCATTTTTTTCATTTCTACCTAAAGTTCCTTATTTTTTTCGTTATATTTGATTATTATATAGATATCAAAATGAAAAAAAGAAGATATCATTTCATTTCTTGAATCAATATCGTAGATGTGGTTTTTGTAGTACCAAAAAAAAAAAAAAATCAAAAAAGATCTAACTTAATTTGCAAAGAATGTAACAAAGCTTTATGCAAAAATTGTTTTGGGCCTTTTCATGGTCAAAAATAAATTAATACTTTATGAGAAAAATTAAATAAGTCTTATTAATTATAATATGTTATTATAAATATTTTAATTAATTTTTAAGTATATATAAAATCTAGTATGTAAACAACTGTTTTTTTTTTCAAAGTATAATTATTATGTTGGTTATTACTTATACACAAAAGACTGAAAAGTGTTGAGTCTGAAATTATAATAAGTTATTTATACNTATTTGTTATTCTTATTATAAATATTTTAATCCATGTTTAAAGTTATATAAAATGTAATATGTAAACACTGTTTATTTTTTTAAGTACAGGACCATTTAACAACTCTGTTTTTATTCCTTTTTATGTTTATTGCTAATGAAAAACATGGTTATTTGCATATTTATCTACTATTTTATTGTATTCCTAATAAATTATAAAGTGGTAAAATAATTTACTAGTAATCGAACTATGTTAGCAAAAGTTCTATATGATCATTGGTAAACTATTTTACCACCAAAAATCTCATAAACTGTTAACAATAAAATTTGTTTTTTCTAAATTTTTAAAAATATACATATGGATTACTATGAATATCAAATTTCAGCCCAAATAAAGCAAAACCTCCTTATGCCCTATAAAGGATTGAAACAAAATAATTTAAAAAAAAAATAGCGTCGTGTTTAAGGTAAAATTATTATTCAGCTTTAAAGAGACGAAACAATATAATTATTTTGAAAATATAAGAATGTATACAAAGAATAATATCAAATTAGTTTCATTAATTTAATGTCCCAAGAAATTTAACGATGGTTTATACGATAGTTAAATGTGTATAAAACAAATAAGGGGGAGTAAATTTTTATTACGAGAGTATAGTCGTATAGGCAACTATATAATGAAATATCCGTTAAACGGTTGAAGTGGGAAAAACTTCAGAGAAACTAAAATGGGACTATATTCACTGACGATTGAGGGACGTCCCCGAGAACTAATTAAACCTAACCAAACTTTCAGGAAACTCATCACGGAAACAAGAGTTCCAAAATGTTTTTCTCTCACGCATATTTGTTCATAAACATGTTATACTAATAGGGTTTAAAAACAAATTACATCACTCTCCCATAAATATTATACTACGCATATGTCTATTCAGTAAAAATGAAAATAAAACAGAGTCGGATTACGTATAATTTAATAGGTATTAAATAATTTGTTTTTAATAATAGTAACTCGAGTTTTTAAAATGTCATTAAAAATGTCTTGGTGACAGTAACTAAAGCAAAGATTAAACCTTTTTATCATTTTATGTATGAACTACAAAATATTTATTAATTATTTTATTATTGGGCACAACATAAGCACAATAAAGTTTAAAATGCATATCATTAATTTTTTAGTGTGATATTTGATATTGTTTTTCCTTAACTAATTTCTCATTTTTTGGTTGTATTTGGGACGATGCAATCTTCAACGAGTTTTTTTAAGCGAGTGTCAGCCAACCGAGTTCTTGTTTTTGATTTGATAATTTTCGTTCTTAAATATATATGCTCACAAGCGTATGTACCGCCAAAGAAAGATATCATTTTCATAGCGTTGTTTCATAAATTAGGATATGTCTCCATGTCTATATACTTTGAATGAAAGTTGAAAGTTATTATATTTTTCTTTTATTATTGTATTGTTCAATAAATCGATAATTTCCATTTGCATATTTTCTGGAATATCTTCGACTGATAATAAAAATGAAATTGAAAACTTATTAAACAACTTTTCGTTAGATTTAAATTCTAAAAACCCCGAATAAAACTTTTTAAAACAATTCTAAATCAGAAATTGATTCTGCGTATTTTTTTGTTGAAGTTAAATTGTAGTTGTAGATTGCAATCATTACCCCAGCACACCCCAAGAAAAACGTCTGTATCTCGGAATATTCAAAAACACAAATGTCCCTGAGTTTTGTTTCAATCGTAGGGGACTAGGAGTGTCAGGGAAATAGGTCCACTCTTATATTTCATTATATTTTTCTACATATTATCTTTCATCACCGCAATAGATTCGTGACAAACTAAACATATAGCTTTGTGTTCAACTTGAATTAAAAATTAATTATTGATCCTTTTTTCTTGAAATACGTGACTTTCATCAAAAGTTTAAAAAGTTTAAATCCGATAATAATAGTATACATAATAAAATCAAGATACTTTTGAAAATGTTGTCGTTATTTATACTTATAAGTAAACATAAAGAAAAAAAAGTCTAAAATTAATAATATTACTATAAGTTGGTTGTTTATAAATTATTCACGGTGTTTGCTTCCCCCCTCCCCTTTTATCTATGGGCAGTTTCCATAGTGCCCACTAATTAAACGATACCAAACACATGGCAAAACAAAAAAAATTGTACCTACCTACTGTTGCGAAATTATGTTATTTGAAATAATCGATTTTTGGGTATGGTTTTTTTTGTAGTTATGCTATTAAATATGCATCATCGTGTTTTGTTTAGACGGCTACCTATATCTCACTCTTCCTCCCTCCCTTTTACCGGGTACTTTTATATTTGCGCAGTACATTTGTTTTTTTTTTTTTTTCATTTGTATGTATACACCTTATGTGTATTATAGGTAAATATAAGTATATTGTACAAACCTAAGTGT